GCCTAATCTTCTAGAATTACTTAAGTAGCTCTAGTAAAGGGACGCCTTTATACTAAAGAAGATTAATAATTTAAAGACTAATTAATCTAGAAGCTTTAAATAGATTATAAATAATAAGAGTCTGCTATAAAGATAAGATTAAATTTATATTTTAAATAAATATTTACTAAAGTAAGAATTATTATAAATTTATTATAATAATCTATATATTAGCTATTAAAGAGTTAGAACTATAAAAAAACTACTTAAGTAAAAATTTTATTAGCTAAATATATAGAATAATATATAGAAATATATAAAGACTTATAATATCTATAAAAAGAATAAAGTTCTTAAATATAAGCTATATAAATAGTTAAGCTTATTACTTATAGCAGAAAGACTCTAGCAGAGTATATTAATAGACTTTATTATTAGCCTGCTACTATTAACTTAATAGAGAGTTAAATATAATGCGATCCTAGTAATAAAGACATTTCGTGTTAATATAAGGACAGATATACTATTGCTTTAAATCTTATACTAGGGCCTTTAAATAGTAAAGATATATCTCCTATAAGATAGGAGAAAAGTCTTTAATTAAACTCTCTAGGCTAAAAAGATTTATAATAGAGTCTATCTTAAAGGCAGTAAGATAATTTATTATTATATTAGTATTAGCAATAATAATTAATATTATTATTTTAATAAGAGCTAGATTAATCTAAGAAGGAGATATTTTAATAATAATCTTAACTCTGGTAATAAAAGTTATAATAATATCTTAGGTTTTTTAAGTCTCTATATTAAGAACCTCCTTTATTTTTAATCTTTTTTATAGTTTTTTAATTAATTAAATAAGAGTTTTTTTTATTATAAGTATAATAAGAGTAATATTATTATAACTATATTTTAATCTCTAAAAAAAATATAATAAATTAGCCTATACCTCCTTATATATAAGAGGAATTATATTGCTAAATATAAACTAATCCCTATATATTTTAGATAAGAGATACTCTTTTATTAGAGAGTTCTCTATAAATAATCTTAGTAAAGATACTTTACTACTATTATTAATAGCGGTAAATAAAGTAATCTATAAAAAAGAAGTTATTAATTCTAATATTATATTAGTAATTAAAGATATAAGAGAGAGAGATAGTTTATTAAGCTGCTTATTATTTATATTAAGCTAATAATTAAATAGATAATCTTTAGTTAATAGCTATAATAGCTTAGGGCTAGCTATAGAGGCCTTATTAAGAAAGCCTAGAATAAATAAAATATGCTTAAAGCGCTTAAAAGATATTATTATATTAATTAGCACTATTATATAAACTTAAAAGATTATAACTTATATTAAGCATATATACAGGATTTATAAAAAAAATAACTTAAAAATTCTATTTTTAATACGCCTATATAATTATTAGCTATTTCTATATTTAAATTATTAAAAGCAGTTTTAAATAAACTGTAGAAATAAGAAAAGAATAGCTTAATATATAGATAAGAAAATAAGAATTAGTTAGTAAAAAATAGAAATACTCCTAATCTCCTAGATAAAAATATTAAAATAAAGCTAATATTAGATAAATTTATATAATAAATATATTTTAATAATAACTTACTACTATTACTATAGTTATACTTAAATATTTAAATCTATATAATAAACTTTATATAGCTTAAGATAAGCCTTTTAATAAGGGGAAATATTATTATAAACTAGAGCTATAATATTTAATCTAGACCTACTAAAACCTAGGATAAATAATAAAAGATAATAAGATAATTAGATCTATGTATAATAGTTAAATTAGCTAATTATAAATAGAGCTATTAAGATTAAATTATCTAGATAATCTAGTAGAATAAATAGATAGATAAATAACTCTTAAAGAAATAAAAATTAAATAGATTAGTAATTTATTCTAATTATTACTAGACTTAATCTTTAACTTTATTATATATAGACAGTTACTCGCCTGTATCTCTACCTCTTATCTTATATTCTGTTTAACTAGTCTGACTAGTTACTTCTGATAAAGAGCTTTCTTACTCTAGCTCTTTATAATTATTAACCTTCTTTATATAAATAGCTATTAGGTTATAATTATTATATAATTAGTATATTATTATCTTTATAACTATTATATATAATTACTTATTATTATAACTATTAATAGGCAGAATCTCTACTAAGATTACCTTATTAAGAGTAAATAGATTAAGGAATTACTAACTACTATTTACCTATAGAAGGATATAAATATAGAGAAGTCTTTATTTCTAATACTTAATTATAAAGATATAGGCTTTATATTAACTAAAGATATCTCGCTTAATAATATTATCTAAAAGATAGTTTAGCTTTATTTAAAATACTTATATAATTAAATTAAGATAAGTATAAGTATCTTAAATTAGAACCCTAGTATTATCTTAAATAAGCTTATTCTTAATCTTTACCTAATATAGATTTACTATAAATATAATAAAGAAAGTAAGCTTATTATATTATATTATAATAGCTATAAAATTATAATAATACTTTTAATAATAATATATACTTTTTATAAATATTACTAGTAGAATTACTTATTAGCTTATTTTAGCAGATATTAACTAATTAAGTAAACTCTTATATAGTTTTTAAGCATAAGTACTTAACTATATCTAAGAGTATTTCTTAGTATATAGCTTAGGCTAATTTCTCTATATAAAATCTAGTTTTCTTTTCTTAATTATAATATAGATATTAATAATAAACTACTAAAAGAAATTAGCATTTTAATATAGAATATTAAATAAACCTTTACGTAAGTATATTAACTACTATACCTATATTTAATTAATTAGCCTATTTTATTAATAAGGATTATCTTAATCTATTATCTTAATTAATTATATAGCCTAATAATAGCCTATTCTATTATTAAGGTAGAAGAGAATATAATAAAGTAAGAGATATAGAGAATAGATATAATAAATATTTATTAAATATTAATTATTACCTATATTACAGAGAGCCTTTAGGATATAAAGATTAATAACCCCTAAAATATTAGATAGCAGTTATTTATTAGGCATATAATTAAAATAGAGGCAGATATTATAAAAGCTAGCTTAAGAATATTTACTTAATATATCTAGACTTACTAGTATAGCTAGCATATTAGGGATAAACCTAATAACCTTATAAGCAGATATAACTAGATTAAACTATTAATTACTGCTATTTAAAATAATAATATATATCTATATATTTAACTGAAGTAAATCTAAAGAGAGAGTTCTTATAATATTCTTAGTATAGTAAAATAATATATAGAATAGATTTAACTTATAGATACTATAGTTTAATTATTTTATAATAACTATAGCCTGCTAATATAAGATTAAATTATTTTAAATATAGATCTTATAGGTAAAGGAAGAATTAAGAAGGTAAAAGCTAATATAAATAAGGTTAGCATCTATAAATAAGAGATATATATTAGTATATATATAATATAATAATGCAGGGCTTATATCTTATTAGCTAGAGGCCTTTAGTAGTAATATATAGTTTTATTAATCTAAAAGATATAATTTAATTTATTTAAGCCTAGATAATTATCTCAGTTATAGCTAATAGAAATAAATACTAGAGAGTAGTTTAATTAGTAAATATAGGACTAAAATAGCTTTAAATTAATATTATTTATACTAAAATAATAATAGAATTTAGTATTTAAAAAAGCTAAAATAGAATTTAAATATATAGAGCCCTTTTTACAGCATATATTAAAGAATATATTATATAAAATTATAATTTTATAATACTAATAAAGAATACTATAAAAGAAATAGATTTAATCTATTTACCCTAGATTTAATATATCTTATTCTTTAATATAAGAAGAAAAGGTAATAAAAATATCTTATATATACTAATACCGCTTATAATAGATATTATAATAATAATACCTGCGCTAGTCCTTAAGAAGAAATATATAATATATATAATAGATTAAGTTAGATAAAAAGCTTAAGCTTATACTTATATTTTATATTTATACTTATAGTTAAGCCTTATAATAATCTAACTAGCATTAATAATAATTAATATAGATATTATAAGATAAGGATATTACTATTTAATATATATTACAGTTCTATAAGACCTATAAGGTTACTAATAATATAAGTATAGAATTAGTTAAGTAATAATTAGCATAGTAACTAGTATAATAGTTTAAATATTTATTATATTTATTAAAAGCAGATATTTAATTATTATAAGAAGTATAATACTTATAATCTATAAATAATTATAGTATACTATTATAAATAGTTATTTAATAATCTATATATTTAATATATTAGCAAAGAATAAGTTTATAGATAGGCTCTATATATTGCCTATAATAAGTATTAAGGATAAGTATAAGCATAGGTATAAAGATAAGTAAAGAAGCAGATATTAATAATAAATATTAAAGATTTAAAATAAATATATATTATAAAGGCACTAGTAGCCGCTATTAATATATAAAATAGCCTAGTACTATAGTAAACTCTAAAGGATTATAATATTATAAAGTAAAAATAGAGATAAATCTTATAGATAAAGTATTTCTTATAATAGAAGTAAAATATATATATATTTATAAAATAAATTAAATATTAAGATAATAATTAATACTTAATCCCTATAATTAAAAAGAGTAATAGACTATAATTATAATAATAAATAATGCCTAATATCTAGAAGAAGCTATTAATAACACTAAATAAAGATATAGAGCATATAATTATAAAAGATTAGAAGAATAGCATATAGTAGAAATAAAAAGTTAAAAATAAAGAGTATTTAGTATATACTATTAAAGGCAGTATAAAAAATTTAGGCAGAAAAGCAATTTTAATAGGATATAAAAGCTTATATACAGGTGCAGGAAGTACCTAAAATAAAAGATAGTATACCTAAAATAGTAAGCAGTTAGCTTAAAACCGCAAGCGGTATAGAATAGCAGCAGCAGAACAGATGTTAAAGCGTGCATTTTTAAGGGATCGCCTATGTATATATATGATATAGTGGGTTACTGGCAGATGTCTAAAGGGTTATGGCGAATCGAGCAACATAAGGATTGATATTGCTTGATCAAAACATCTATAATTTGAAGTTTACTAACACTGCACTGTAAAGACCGGACGCCGCCCACGCAAGTCATTGCTTATGCCTCAGATAGAAGGGAGTTTCGAAGTGGAAGTAATCCAATCTAATCGAAAGGGATCGGTCGCAGTCCAGAGCCACCCATGCGTTTCCGCATCTCGGCGCCTGCAGCGATAGTACTTGGGACCTTAATACCACAGCAGTCACCAAACCAATCACTATGATCATGACCTGCATGTGAATGTCCGTGCTCATCAATAGTTGACTGGTCCACCTCCTCGCCTTCTGCTCGTTCTCCCATTCCTGGTGCGGCCGGGATAAGGCTGCCAAAAAGGAAATGCTGCATGATAGGCAGCTTTCCAAGAACTTCCTTGACGAACATCTTCTTCATTCCACTCTCGATCTTAAGCCAGTTCTTGGCACCTGAGATATCATCCAACATGGGGCTATGCCATCGCAGACCCTTGACAGTCTTGACACTGTCCACCCATCGCACCTGGTTAAGGTAGATGTACTTATCGCCTTCCTCGTCTAGGATGGCTTGGTTATGGATTGCAAGTGGCGTGATGTAAGGGTGGTCCACAAGCTGAGCAGCTCCGAAGAGGAACGGCAAGAAGTGGTAGTCATCCAAACCCCAAACACCGTGGGAACCAGCAGGTTCAAGATAGTATGTTGACTGAACTTCGCGCATGAGATGCATGTAGTCCACATATACACGGAAAACGAGCATCTGGAAGTCTTCCCGAGTGATCACCCTTATCTGATACAGACAGAGGAGCCACATCATAAAATTCAACTCATGGCCTGAGCCATAATCAATTCGGTCCCGCGACCCTAGAGAATGGATCAGATAAGTCGATATCTCATCCACCGCAGCACTGTCTTTGATGCCAAGTATATCTCGATGCCATGCCGGACTTTGGGCAACTACATCATCGAACAACGAACGGAACGCCGGGTTACCGAATCTCGACCCGCCTTGGTCGATCGAAGGGTTCTTGTCGAGGAGTGATTTGATATTATGCACGATTGACAAAATTTGCTTGATTCCAGATGATGGATCCTTGTCCTTGATGTCCGTCACAGCACGCCCGCGTACCGTGTCTGAAAGTCCGAAGATAAACGCTAGAACTAGCTTGTAAGTTGGAGAAGAAAGGAATATCTCATGGTCTTTGGGAGAAAGAATGCGACGCGTAGGAGTACTGAAGCTGTGCAATGATAAGTCGATCGGGTCAGGCAAAGGGGGCGTCACTGGCGCTGGTTCCTGTCCTCCGACACGACGGTTCTTGCGCTCCGTTCGCAGTCCAGAGAGTTTCTTTGAAAGTTCGACGCTGGCTGCCGGCTGGGGAGCAGGTCCAGGAGACATTTTCAGGAGCAAATGATGAGACGTTAAAAGAGGAATAGCATGCCAGTCGGATAGTTGGTGTCTTGATAGATCGATAGTGGTCTGCTTATGCGATCCTAATCGAAGTGGGTTGATGTTAGTTAAGAGGTGGCACGGATGACATCGAGTGGGGAGCGGCAGAACTGATGGCGGAGAGAGGCGCATCCATCACCGCCTACCATTAACAGATAAGCGGTCATTCTCAGCACTGCTAATTTTGGCTTAGCTTATAAGCATCCGCGCAGTGCAGATCTCAGCTACTTTATTGGCCAATCCTCGTCTTCTGTTCGAGGGCACATGATCTTCACGACAGACATTGAGGCTGACCATTGACTACGATCTGGTTATACGCTGTGTTGCTAGGAACTGCTCCAAAGACACAGAATATCTAGGCAGCTTCAGACCCAAAAACAATCGTTGGAATTGCAAAAGTTGACTATTCAGCACGATTAGCTCGACGGTCATTGTTGTCACTACTGGGGCGGCGGACCGAGGAACAAGAGAGTGTAGGACTAAACTGCAAGCCACCCAGCACGCCATCATGAATCTCTTTGAAGCAAGTTCACCTGGCATAGACCGCGACAATGTTTCTCCCGGGGATACTGGAGCTTCTGGCCCCTCACATCCAGGACCCTCGTCGACTGCAAACGAACATAAGTTGAGTCGCACTCAATCATCGACCAGCACCGTTCGGTTCCAGATGCCATCACGGTCCATGTCATCCTCAAACCGAGACCAGCAACCCTCTCACGATGAAGTGACACCGATAATCCACCATGAGTGGAGAGACGAGCGCAATTACGACACTACACAGACCTCAAGGAACGGCGAGGTAGGACAGGCTCACTCTCGAGACGCGCAAGGGACAAGCAAGAGTGGATCGGACACAGACAGGGCGGATGACACAAGCACTACACAAGAAGAGCCTGGAAAAGAGCGTGGTGCATTGTGGTACAAGCGTATAGCAGAAAAATACGGTAGTCTCGAGTTGGATAACAAGGGCAGTGTTGCCAGGGATCATCTTGCTCTAGGTACGTTTAGAGGGAAAGCGCTGTGAAAGCGAGAGAAGTCGTCGTTCAAATACCTAAGCTTGCCTTCGGATTCTTGGACAATATTCTCCCATAATTAGTGACTGAAGTGCAGCTACTGACTATGACTAAATATGTACAGAGCGGACATTCCTTGCCTGGCTCCGGACGTCTCTCGCATTCGCTTCCATCGGTATTGCGATCACTCAGCTGTTTCGTCTGAACAGTTCCGTGTCAAGCGGCCACAGCTCGACGACAAAAGACTATCCCTCTATCCTGACTCAATTAATGTCGCCCCCATACTACGGCACTTCAAGTGATGTATCAACCACCGATCAGAGCTCTCGCCTACGGAACGTCGGAAAGCCGCTGGGTGCAACTTTTATTGCCATTTCAATCGTGATCCTCCTCCTAGGCTTCCATCGCTACTTTGAAAGCCAATATTGGATAGTCCGAGGCAAGTTCCCAGCAAGCAGGGGCAGTGTCGCTCTGCTCTCTTTTATCACCGCGGCCTTGATTATAGCCAGCTTGGTGGTTATTCTAGCGATAGCACCCGGGGCGATAGAGTCATAACTGGAACATAAGGGGAATAGGTTCACCCACAGTTGTACAGTTTGATACGACTTTGTTTTTTTTCTATCTAGCATCAAGCGGGCGTACCTGACGAGAGGTATATAGTTATGCATGGCGTATTATGTAGCCATCTATACACCAATTTGCAATTTTCATTCCATTTTGATGGTCGAGCCTTTCATTCTTTAGCTTATGACTTCCACTCATAGCCTGTTATTACCGCTGAACTCATTAGAGGGGGTTGCTACAGAGAAGGGCGATGGGAATTCATAGAATACAAGAGGAGAAAGAAAATAAAATTTCGCTAGATTAAAGATACCCAGACCATTAAACCTTGGCCTTCGGCTTGAACAGAGCCTCCTGCGTGTTGTAAGTGTACTTCAGATCCAAGTGCCAGTAGTTCGCCGTGGTCGGCTTCGTGATCAGCCAAGCCTGGTCCAAAGCTTCCACCACTTCTTCAGGAAGTGGTCCCTTCTCCAGATCCCGCAAGTTGCTCTCCAGCTGGGAAAGGCTGCTAACACCGATGATAATACCGTCGCGACCTCCATCCTTGATGTTCAGAGCCGAGTGGTGGCGCAGCCAGCGCAGGGCCGTCTCCAGCATCGTCAGACCGTGCTTTTCAACCACGGGCTCGATCGTCTTCAATGCCTCGAAAGTGGCATCCTTGAAGTAACGCTTGCGATACATCTCTCCGGACTTCGCCTTGTCACTGTATCTGCCATCTTGGGGAACCAAGTCCTTCGACTTGATCTTTCCAGAGAACAAACCACCAGCCAGGGGGTTGTAGACGACAATGTCCATACCGTAGCGTCGGCAAGCGTGGATGAGTTCAGTTTCAATAGATCGTGCTGTAGATAAGTCAGTCAGTGGTCACGAACTAGGTATTGGTACCAAATGGTAGAATAACTACAGGGGGTGAGAACTTACTAATGGCATTGTACATTCCCTGGTAGATCGTCGGACGGACCCATCCTCTCTCGTTGCACATGGTCACAATCTCTGCGACTTCGAATGCAGTGAAGTTGCTCAGACCAAGCTGCACGAACTTTCCCTCCTTGTGCAGCTGATTGACGGCCTCTAGGGTCTCTGAGAAGGGCACAGATCGGTCGGCCGCGTGCAAGTAGAAGATGTCAACAGTGTCTGTTCCCAGCTCCTTCAGAGACGTCTCGAGCTGGGTGCGGACAACATCGGGCTTGTGGTCACCAGGAGTCCTGGGGTACCACTTGGTCGCCAAGGTCAATCCACGCTCTTTCCACTTCGCCTCGCGTGTCCAGGCTTCCTGCTTGCCGCCAACGTATACCCGAGCTGTATCAATCTCATTGTATCCCTGCTGCTGGAAGTAGTCCAGACACTTGGTGAAGTCGTCAAAGTTGGTGACACGGGCGCCAGTGGACTCGTCAGGCCCAAAGGTCATCAACCCGAGGATCACCCGGGGCTTCAATTGCTGCGTGATAAGCATTTTGATGGATATATTGACTTTTCAGTGTCCAAGCACCTATGTTTAGAGGGGAAGAGATGGCTGTGTTTCATACCGCTTTGAAATCAGCGACGGCGGGGTTCGGCGGGGTAATAATACCTGTAATACCTTATGGACGTCAATCGGCACTGGTGCCGGTATCAAGATAAGCGGCGTCTTTAACCGCGACCAGTACTGTATAAGGGACTCAACTCCTAGGAACCTTTACAAACGCAATTTGCCGCATAATATTCTTGAACTAATCGTTGATTCCCTCAACAGACAACCCCAACTGCTACGCATCCTAATCCGTTAATGGCGTATACTCATTGGCCTCAATTCCCACCTCGTTGATAACGTTCACCCGTCTCCGCACTGGTGATTTGTCGAATCCACGATCTTCCTCTAAGGAGTTCTCCTTTTTGGTCGAATCAGTTAGGATCCTTCGACATGATTGTTCTAATCGTTAATGACACTGTACGCAACACGGCATTACATCAGAAACTAAGGAGCTAAGACCAGGTAAATATGGTCGGCCCTTATCTAGGTAGATGGACTGAACAACAATTGTCTGATCTGATAGCAGGCATTTCCTCTAGTAACCGTGCTACTCGTGGACGAAGAAAGTGAACGTCCGTGGATTCAGAAAAGCCGCACTCTATACAACTTCGAAAACCACTTGAGTTCGAAATTCAACACACAGAAGCCAGACTAGACCGCTGGTGGACCAAGAAACCAAGATAGTGGTCAACCTCATTAGATCCTTGTGCATCGAGTTGGTCAGTCTTTGAGTAGTGTTCTTGCCGATAATGTCCCAGCGTCTCTATTGTCAACTCCGCAGATGCCTTATAAACTCTCCGCATAATCGATCAGATCTTGAAGAGATGTCTCTAGGTAGTTCCGTGATCTATCTCTGAGGTAGTCATATTTTACTATGGCTATTTCCTCGATCCTTCTCGTAAGCGCAAAGGCTTGGCTCTCGACTGGACCTGTGTCCTATTATGTAGTTACTGCCTGCTATTATATAATTCTAAACTCGCCCAATGGCCTGGAGATAGTCAATAACCAGATTACTCAAACCTCTTCTTTTCAACAAACATGAATTGCATTGGCCTTACGCTCTGCTTGGCCAGGTTTACCCCAGAAGCGTCACGTGCAGCACATGCTTCCCCGGATATCCAAGCGGGACGAAGGTCTATCTGCACCGAAGTCCGTAAGCCCAACTTCGCAACTCTCCGAGTCTCGACTCGCAGCATCGTCAACCTTGCCCTGTTCACTCTTCGCTCGTTCTGGATATTGGAGCTGGACCTCCAGATTGATCATCGGCCGTACGCGTCACCTGCCAAGGCTTGTCCCGGCGTAAGGCAGGTGGAATTGTCCGCGTGGCCTGCAACCGTGGCCGCAGCATCTCAGCCTCGAAACTGAACGTCATGAGAATCGCATATACACATATTGATTCACAACGACAAATTGAATTCTGCAGCGTTACTTGTCTGTTACTATTTTACCTTCCTTCGACAATTACCAAATGATATTTCTCCAAACTGCTACATTATCGGTGTCAGCGTGAAAGGGATTAGGAGGTCCGGTACCTTATATCAGCGGCAACTCTTTAGTCCTTGATCCTAGAAGGACTTTGAGCCCGCACTTAGAAACAGCAATATACTAAATCCCAATTTCCGACTGGCATACGTGCGCCGTCTCGGAGGAAAGTGGCTTCAGACAACGTATCGCCGTCTGAGCGGAGGGAGGAGGAAGAAGAAGGTCGCGCAATAGTGTGGGAATCTGCAGCTTCAGACGACGAGATGCCAGCAACTCGCCCATCGAGCCAGCGCTCAGCAAGCGGTCGTTCCCACCACCAGCCTTTACTCAAAGATGACCGTCGGGGCCGACAACCCAGCCTCATGCCTACCCTGGATGGTCACGAAGTAGGACATGCTGCTAGGAGGACAACATTCAGAAGTAGAACCCCAGTTTATGATGCTAAAAATGCGACCCGCAAGAAATACATCTATGCCTCGGGATTTTTACTTTTGAGCCTGATTAGCTTCACCGTCCAGACGGAGACGGCTTCATATATCACAAATGAGCTGCACTGGAACAATCCATACTGCATGCTGTAAGTTTTCCTGTCGTCGCCCACGGAATCCCGGATATTAGAACAAGTACTTATTAAAACGACAACTAGCTATATCACCCACGGTTCCTGGGTAGTCCTCTGGCCAATCCAACTTTTAATCCTGCGGCTCCAGAAACGACAGCTCTCTTGGGAAGCGTTTTGGCGGCGCCACGTATATCTCCTCCGGACGACCGCCCAGATGGTGGAGTCTGCCGATCTGCATCTCACGCAGCGCGATTACCATCGCTCTCCGGTACCATATATGCTCAAAACGACTGCATTCGTCACGACGGCGCTCACTATTGCGGGGGGTTCGTGGTACTTAGCAGTTAACATGACAACTGCAAGCGACCTGACCGCCATTTACAACTGTTCTGCCTTCTTCGCATATGCATTTTCCGTCCCTCTATTGGGAGATAAATTTAGATTTGACAAGGTGTTTTCGGTCATTGTGGCCATCATTGGCGTTCTTGTGGTCGCCTATGGGGACAGCAGTCCAGAGAAGGGTGACGGTGCTGCTGGACAGCAGCAAAACAGGCCGCTGGGAAACATTATCATTGGAATTGGAAGCGTGTTGTATGGTTTGTACGAGGTGCTGTACAAAAGATACGCATGCCCGCCAGAGGGGACCAGCGCAGGGCGAAGTATGATCTTCGCCAACACTTTTGGCAGTCTTATCGGAGCTTTCACTCTCCTCGTGCTCTGGGTTCCCCTGCCAATCCTGCATGTTCTCGGATTCGAAAAGTTCAGTTTCCCTACAGGCGAAGTCGCTCGGGTTCTCTTAATTTCCGTTATCGCCAATGCTAGTAAGTGTTGCATTACCATCCAATCAGACAAGAAAAAAAAAAAAAAAGAAACAGAACTGAACTAACCATTGCAGCATTTTCCGGTTCCTTCCTCGTTCTTATATCTCTAACATCACCTGTCCTATCCTCCGTGGCCGCTCTCCTCACCATCATCATTGTTGGTGTAGCCGACTGGCTCCGCACCAGCAAGACACCCTCCGCGGCATCCTTCATTGGCTGCATCTTAATCATCATCGCATTCTTGCTTCTAAGCTGGAGCACGTATCGAGAACTGGAAGAAGAACGGAGAAGACGCCTTTCAGACGTTGGAGTCGACTCTGATAGTGATGATGAGTAATTTATTCCATTTAAATCAATTCAAGCAAGCTGCTGCTCTCAAACGGCAAGGAATAGGAACAGGCGATATCCTCCGGAGCAATTGGGGTCTGTTTCGTATGGTGTGTTTTTGGGGTTTCTTTTTTATTTTTTTTTTTTTCCTTTGGTTTTCTTTTCTTTTTTTTTTTTCTTTTTTTTTTTTTTTTTTTTTTTTATAGAATCAATCGTATACCCGGGGACGGTTTTACGAACCATATTCATCGGATAGAGCTTATATCTAGTGATTTCTTACGTTTTTTCTTTTTAGACATCTGTATCGTTATGCGAGGGGGGGGGTGTTCATTTTTCTAGATTTATAGTTGGTCATTCGACCATATTTTCGGATACATCCACGAAGACCTCCAACGAGTGTATGTATGTTCATAGCGTGTCTCATTTGACTATCTTCTTGGTCCATGTTAACTACTGCTTTGATGCCCGGTAGGAAAGACCAATTAAGTGTAAATACCAAATCTCCACGCGAAAGGGTTTGCTTTTTCTATACTGGAACTGATAGCTGGCTAGGTACACTTGAAAAAACAGGCTGGCTCTGGCCGGGGTAGTAAATGCGCCTTGAAGGAACAGATGGGAAAGGCGGATTCAAAGGGAGAAGTGAGGGGACGCTAGTTGCGATTGGAAGGTAAAATGGCCAGTTCGATAGATGGATCGCAAGGGGATTGATTATATAGAAGTTTCACTATCTGGGGCCGAGCTTGGCCAGGGCGCGAGCACCTTCTTCCTGCCACTCCTGTCGAGTCACCCACATGTCTTCCTTATCTGCGATCTGTTTGAGATGGTCAGCTATTTGACTCTTTCGCTTTCTTCGTAATGGCAGCTGAAGGGGGCTACTTACAAGGTTGGCGAGCACAGCACCACCAAGGAAGACCATGTGTCTTCGTCGCGGCGGGTCTTCGATACGGACCTTAAATTTCTGCAACGTTGTTAGCCGACGAAATACGTCCGATTGTTTGGTGCAGACGGATGCCGCAAAGAAAGCGTATAAGGAAATCTGGAGTATGCATACGTTCAATCTCTCCGGGTTTCCTTGCAGAACTCTCGTAAGCCAGAGCTGCTTGATTTCCTTCTCCAAACGCGAAGGCAGACCCGGGTACATGCTGCTACCACCACTGAGCACGATAGCCTTGTACAGACTGGAGCGAACATCGACGTCTGTGCCTTGGATTGTGTTGAACAGTAGCTCTCCGATACCGGGCTGGTCAACGTCCACGAGATGCGGCTGGAACATGCACTCGGGGGCCTCGAATCGTTCGCTTCCAACCCTGATCACTCGACCGTCAGGAAGGGTGTATGATTCGACCAGAACGGTTGTATCCTCCGAAAGTCTCTGGTCCAGCTCGAGATCGTACGACACATAACAGAGCTTCTCCTTAATTTGGCGCACGGTCTCAAAGTCCGCAGTTCGGTTCAACGCATAACCGCGGCGGAGGAGGAGGGCGATCAGGTTGCGGGTGACATCTCGACCAGCGACGTCAAGTCGTTTGATATGGTGGTTTAGGACCGTCGATTCATAGACAGGAACAATGTGGGTGACACCGTCACCAGAGTCAACAACGACACCGCTGCTAAGACCTAGTAGGTGGGTACGGAATTAGCGCAGCTCTACACCCCCCAATTTCCAAGACACATTTCAGAAACATACCCTGAGCATACAGAGCAAGCACTGCCTGAATCGCAACATATACACCTCCGAAACCGTAACCCTCCAGCATGACCTCAGCCATCTTTTCGCGGTTCTTCAGGGGGTTCATCGGAGGCTCAGTCAGGAGAATCTTCCGGCCGGTAGGATCGATCTTCATCTTCTCGTAGAATGTGTAGTTCCATAGATGTTGCATGTCATCCCATTTCTTCACGATACCATTCTCCATCTGTTGCAGCATATGTGTCAATTAATGTGTCTGCCTTCCGCGAGGCGGGGTAGAGGTATCGCATCGCTGCCTCTCCGGGGAGGATTGCTGGAACGTACGGGATAGCTAATCTGCAGCATTGATCTCGCAGCCGCCGCCTCATCACCACACATGATATCCTTGACGACAATATCCCCGGCCTGTTCTTCAGATCGTAGAATGGGCCGCCCCACTATGGAGGGGAACTGATGCTCTGGGAAGTTCTAGATAATGGGATAACCATTAGCCAACATGTTCAGAGATTCAACAGACGGGCAATGATGGGGCGACTCTACCTGCGCGGCATATCCGACCTTCAGGAAACCGGTTCCTCCGTCGAGCACTGGTGTTGTATGTTAGTTGACACGGTTCTTAGCGACTGGGTTTCGGGAGGGACTCGGTGGAAGCTCACCGATGGGCGCGTCCGCCATGGTTAAAGCTGCTGTCCTTGATGGGCTAAGAGGAGATACCGGCTCCTGAACAAATCTATCGGATCTCCAGACCAGAAGAAGGAAAGAGAGAGGTTGCGGAAGGTGAAAGGGTAGTTGGGTATGGCGCAGGTGGACGGAGTTGCTTGCGCTTCCCCAGGCCGAGTACGACAGCAGTCTGGAGGTGACGATGAGTCCGCCCAATGAGGCTTAGAGACGGCAAGCCACTCCACACAAACATCCGCCAACGGCTCACCAAGTCTCAACATCTTCCTTGATAGATAACCATACTAATGACTGGCATCAGACAGAAGATATTTATGCGTCTGGGTATCTATCATTGTTATCATTTGTTGTCCTGTCAGAAACTGTGAATGCTCTATTATTGACATTCTTTAGCTGGTACTGGAATCACCCGACCAAAAGACAATGAGCGAACACGAGTTCTCTCTCAGAGGACGAAAGGATGTGATTACATGTTCCTCTAGAACGGAGAATGCATATTCAGGATATATTTAATATTCTATTGTCCAGCAATGGCGTCTTCTAAAAGAAGTAATGACTGATCATGAGATATTCCATCTATCCGTGAAGCATAAACGGACAAGCATATTTCTAGAAGGCTGAACAGGGAGTATGCCGAAAAGTACAGGAAATGATTGGTATAAAGAAAAACAAAGAAACATATAAAGTGTGGAGAATAAGCGGATTATTTTCCTCCTTGTCGACTCTTTTCGTTCCAGAAGGCAAGACCGGCCTTCTGACGCAGAATTCCATACATGGAGCTGCTGTCAAGGCACTCGCCTCCGTACTCTCTTGCAGCAATCATGTTCTTCTGGGCCACCTCCAGTGCTGGGAGCTCGACGTTTGCGTCCTTGGCCATCTTGAGAGCATGCGCTGCATCCTTGATTGACAGAGATACACCAAATCCAGGACGCGTGTTCAGAGGCGGTGCGTAAATACCAGTGGTGAGTCTCTGAGAGTAGCTTCCAGCAACAGGACCAAATGCCTCTGTGATGAGTTCTTCCATTGGGCCAGTCCCCAGTCCCGTACGTTCCGCGAAGACCTGTGCTTCTCCCACAGTCTCCATCAAGCTGACAGTCACAATGTTTCTACCACAAAGTGTCAGTAGATTGTACCAGATGAGAGTCTATTGAGGGGTTGGAAGGAAACAAATAACATACCCTGCGATTTTCAGCAAAGAAGACTTCTTAGGCTCATCTCCGCAGTCGATGACCTTCCTTCCCATAACATCCTGAATAAGTGGCTTGATGGTCTCACGGGCCGTTTTCGGCCCGCCGATAGCGAAAACCAGCTTCCCGGCGGCAGCGACAGGAGCTCCTCCAAAGACAGGGGCGCAGACGAAAGTCGCATCCTTCTCTTTCAGTTTCGCTGCAGCTGCACCGATCGTGTCGGGGTGCACAGTCGAACAGTCAACAAAGATCTTATCCTTGAGTGACGCTCCCGAGCTGACAGCTGAAGAGACAAGATTGTCTAGAACAGCGTCATTGGCAACCTAGGCCATATCAATGTCTCGCAGTCAGTAAATCCGTACATTGCTCTGCAGAATCAGTATATGCTCTCACCATGGTAAAGATAATGCCGCACTTAGAGACAAGCTTCTCAAAGCTCGTTTCCTCTTCAGCGCCCAGCTCCTGCAGAGGGACACCCCTGGACCGTGTGCGGTTGGAGAATATCAAGCCCTTTCCCTTGGTAGCAACAAGGTGCTTTTGGAGGTTCGTGGCCATTCCAAGACCCATGGACCCCAGGCCATACTGCGCGATACATCGATCCCGTCAGTTCCGATGATCCGGAGCAAGGGTGGTGAAGACTCACCCAGCCGATCTGAACGACGCTCGCCATGATGCTATCTTATCAGAAGCCTCTGCTGTATCTTTTCAAAGTTTCTATTAGCCTTTCTAGGACGATAGAGAATCGAAAGGACTGCAACGTCAAAACAAACCTGTAGCTCCCGTCGAGAGATGCACAACCCACACAGGAAAAGAAAAGCAGAATGTAGAAGAGTCGTACCACTGTCGAATTCCAAATGACGTCTTTCCGTGTTTAAGTAGTTTCCCACCTCAAGAACAATAATTAATGACTGTCGTCCGACTCCGAGACCGTGGAGCTTTCCAGTTCACCTTAGCTCCCGAGGAATTATCGGCCGAAAGATAAGCCATTCCTCTTGGGATTAGCAGTTACATGAGCCAGAAATAACTGCCATATTCGGTGCTTATTTCCCAATATAGAGACCCAGTTTTTGAGTCCTTTTGTTCTCAATTTCTCAATTTAAGACCCTCTTTTTCTTACTTGTGAGTCACCACTCTGCCGCCATTCCGGGAAAGGGTCGGGCAATAATTTGCAGTATCTATGCTGTATCTACTCCGTACATTGCTACCAAGGTCAGATGGAACAACGTGGAGTAACTAGTTCGTTCTCCCATTTCTCTTCGATAAGCGATCGGGAAACTTCTGAGCCAATCGGACGATATAGATAAGAAATCAAACTTGCCCCTCCAACGACAAGTAATTAATACACTGTACGAATGGTGCTGTGTGTGATCTTTGTTACCTAGGTACCCGGCAATGACTTCTTAATATGTAATAGTATAGGAGAAATAGTTCCTTAAATGCTTCTCTAAACTTGTCTAGGTTACCTTTCGAATAGTCAATAGAAGTCACCTATCTATGACTCCTTTCATGCAAGTAATAATATGCGCTGTCGCGACCGTCGGAAATGTAGAATCAAATAAGCTTTCCGCGGAGAGTCCGGAACATCGTGTCTGAGATATACCTCAGTCAATTCAAGAGGCTATAACAAAATACAAAGTATCTTTCATCCTTTGTCTACGTAAATTACCTGGGATATTCGGTAGTGCTTCAAGGATAAAAACAAGAGATGGTCAAGTTGACCGGACCGGTCATATATCATTGTAGCCCAGGACAGACATGGCAGGTAACGCCAACACCACTCCTGGAAAATAAGCCGCCCAGACAGTGTTTATGTTCTTAAGGACCCGACGAAATGATATAGGAGGAATTGAAATAGAAAAGAAGGGTTCCATTATAAATACAAAGGACTTTATAAGCTAAAGAGAAAGCGTAAAAAAAAAGAGAGACAGGTACCACACCCAGTCCTAAATCTCTCCCCGATAACACCTATAACTCCTTTTTGAGAGAGACAAAACCACAGGAATAACCTGCTATACACAGCTTCACACCTTTCGGAAGGTTGTCTTCAGTAAAGAAAAATCAACCATCTGAACTTCGTTGAGAAGACAGATAACCACCGGGATCGTGTTTGACCCTTGCTGCATCAGCCAAACCGGGGTAAAGGTCAGCCCATTCTTTCCCAATGGACCAGTTATTCAGATTCCGCAGGTGCCTTTCGAAGACAGGGTTGATCAAGAGCTCCTCAGAATCTGGAGAAGACAGGAGACAGTCTGTGGCTTCATACGGCCAATTGACGGAGATAGTGCGTGTCCACGGGACAAACCATTCATCGAAGGGATAAGACTGCCAGGACATCACGACTCGATCGCGCAAACGAGGCCAAGGAATATAGTCGACCCACGCGGGGTGTGGAGTCAATAACTGAGACGGCCGCGGTGTCAGCCATTCTGGCAAACGTTCATAGTTCTGCTGCGTGGGGTAGATCTGCCATCTCATGAGGAGGAACATTACATAGAGGACAGCTACTTGTTCGGGAAGCGACGCAATATCCGGGAAGGTTCGTAAGACGTCCGTAAAGACCTTGGAGATGGGATGGGAGTAAACACTTTTCTCCGGGTTCAGGAGAGATGTGATACTAGGATACGGCGGGCCAACCAGTCGCTGTCTCGAGACTCCTTCTGCTGCTTGCCGCTGACGGTCACGGAGGAAGTTCAGAAGAACACTGTCAAGGGGACACGTCGGAGGAACATTCTGGATAGGAGCAGTGAAGGCTGTCAAAGGGGATTCTGCTGACAGATTGTTTGCCAGTTGCGGATCTCCAGGTGAGGCGGTTGTCGGCCCCGGACTATCTGGGGTGAGTCGGACATCGTTCACCTTCGGTATCTGCTCAGAGCCGTCCAACAAGAAGTTGAAACCAAGCCTCTCTCCGGATTCGCCGAAATCAAGTCCATGAGTCAGATTATGCCGCTGGTAATTCAACGCTGTCGGTATAGGCCAAGGTTGTTCCACGCCATTATTAGGCCAACTTCGACGGAGTCCGACAAGAGCCGACAACTGGTCTATAGGAGAAGGAGTCCTGGCACTCGTTGTTGATTGTATATGTGGTTGTCCTGCCGGTAGCGAGCTCACACTGCTAGGGGTGCAACCATTGCTTTCTGACGGCGCAGGAGGTTGGAGCGGAGGGCGAAGTTCATGCTGAGAGAATGTTGCAGGGGGATCTGTTCCCGACGAAGGAGACCGACTGTTAGCCAGTGCAGAGATATGAGATAGTCAGGAGAATTACTTGAGATTCCACTTGTGCGAAGCAATGGTTGTAGAATGTCAAGGACCTCTGCTAGGCGTTTCTTGATCTCTCGATTCTCCGCTTCAACCGCCTCTTTCTCCTTCAGCGCGACTTGTAGATCGAGATAGGGCTTCTGCGACGACAGATCTCGAACCTGCTGCTGCAATGCTTCAATCTGAGCCTTTGTCCGCTCTCGAATGGCTCGCTGTGCTTCTCGATCATTGGCGCGCTTTTTAGCCAGCTGCTCTGGAGTCAGATTGGCGACACCTCGTGAAGGAGCGTTGGTCGCCTTTCGCTTTCTCTTTGCGAGCGGAGCAGTTCCTGAATCAGGTGTTGATTGAACCGCCTCGGGAGACCCATCGTTGATGAGATCGTCGTCCTCAATGCCGCTCAGTCGCGATGAGCGGAATGATGGGTGCTCGTCCCCCCGTGAAGGAGCAGCATTGCCGGTGACAGCGTAGTTGTGGCCGTCTCCTGGCATGGCCTCACCCACGTGTCAGCCGCCCGCGGTGCCCATCCACCAAGCTGTGTTGCTGTCGCTGAAATGTGAGGGATTGTGGCTCGGAGGCCCAGTAAGGTTGATGATGGCGGCTAGAAGGTTAGAATACTACGGATGCTCCGAAAGATTATCATCTACTCGTGGCCCAGCCGAATGAAGACAAAATGCCTACGGATTTCGCGACGTGCACAGTGGGGGCCAGAGCTTCAGATGATGATTCCGAAGTGATCACGTTGAACGATATGAGTACGGAGTAGAAGCAGAGTTGCAGAACGTCAAGAAGCCCTCAAGGACGGCTCAGAGGAGTAAAGGTGATCAGGATTCGAGACGATCAAGACGCAAGTTGTTCTATCGCCTACAGGAATCACTTCCGAGGAGTAGATGAAAACTAACTTTTTATTCCAAACCCCCAACACAACAGTCCAAGTACCAATGCCAATGTCGATGTCGATGTCGATGACGAATGGATTGTCTCTGCGCCAAATATCCTCGTTTGATACTTCTATTCATCTTCACGCGCACCACTCGTAGATGACGTTCTTGGTTCTAAGGGCAATACCTGAACCTCGTAAGAGAGATATTGTACTGTACTCTGCCAAGGAGTAGCATCTACCTTCCACTATCAACTTTTGAGTTTGCAAGGCAAGCCGTATCCCACGATTTTATATATGGTCCCATAACAAGAGATTATGTCGGCTTAAAGGTGCCGAACTCTTGTAAAATCAGTCCAGGCGGATTGTTCATTCAACATCACCGTTCTGCAGAATACGTGACTTGAGATATTTTTGTCATATCGCAGTGGATATGCAATATGTACAGTACATGAAACGCTATATAATAATCAACAACATAGGAGGTAGTATCACCAATGTACCAGCAGTAGAGGCCAGTAGGCAGGGTGGTATGCAAGACCTCAGCGAATGACATAACTAGAGCCATAGATAAGCATATCTTTCATCGTGCACGTGGCACGGCGTCAACACAGTATCTTCGGCATATGTCGCGACCTGGTAGGTCGCTAACTTAAGGGTTTTTACGTGGTATCTGAGATGGCGAAGACCACTTCAGGTGTGGAGATGGTACACAGTCTCCCGCAGAGATGAACAATCGAATATTTCATTCGATCATATGTCCCATTTTTCCGATCTAGTGATACATAGTTAGCAAAACGACATGGGTCGATGGACAATATTAGAAGGAATAGGGACCTACTTTCGTTCTTAAATAACCCTCAATCTCTGAACTTCTGATCCCCTGCTTGCCACCTGTTCTCCAAGCCAACGGGATCATGGGAACTCTCTCCTTAACAGTTACCTCCCGATTCGGGCCTTCAATTGCCCGCACCTTGTCAGGGTTATTCGTGAGCAGTCTGATTCCGGCATCAGAGGAATCGACGCCCAAACCAAGATCGACTAGGATTGCAGTGGCGAGACCATAACTCCTAGCGTCCGCAGGGTGCCTCAGCAATAGATTGGCCTCCACCGTGTCAGAACCCAAATCCTGTAGATTATAGGCTTTCAATTTCTCTCCGAGTCCGATTCCACGACCTTCTTGGCGGAGATATACGATGACACCTCCTGGAGGCTCCACAGAGGACCCAGTATCGTGATCAGGCGTCGACATCAACCGCGCAGCTTCGTCCAACTGTTCACCACAATCACATCGCGCCGACCAAGCCGTTTCTCCCGTATAACACTCGGAATGGATTCTCACCAATGGCGCCTGCTTCTGCGTGCTTCGAGCGGAGCCAGGCTCCCTCAGAGCCTCAGACACAGCCTTGTCACCAGCGTCACCAGATCCTTCAGAAGAACTTCGCGACTCCTTTCTCTTCCCCATGTCCGCCCCATCATCATAGCGGCTGCTGACCCTTCCTGGACGCAACCTCCCCACATAAGCCCCACGGATCATTCTGTCCATCTCTGTCTCTCCGGGTATCACTCGATCCAAACTCTTACTTCTGATATTATTTCCGAAGACGATTGCAAGATGTTCTTTATTGTCGACGTTATTCTGATAGAGATGGAGGAACATCTCCGCCCCCGTCGTGGTGGGGATTCGCGCGCGCACTATACATTCCACATGAGGTAACTGCGGAAGGAGTTTGGGTGTCTTTGCATTGGCACGTTCGGTTTCAATATCAGGTTGATGACTGCGCTGTTGTAAGATTTGCGCCGCATTCACGGTGCCACCCGGTGTCGCTGGAGGGGTAAAAGCGGGGGATACGATAGAGGCGGGCAAGGCCGGAGTGACTCCTTCGCGTAGGTCATGATCCCCAGCGTTTCCCTGTGGACGCGGACTCGTAATTGAGGGCAATGGAGATGTTGCAGATTCTGAATTGAGAGAATATTCGGATATAGGATGGTCGGGGTGGACGGGTTGCGGCGAAAAGTATGGCGACGCATGCGAAGGTAGGTCCGGCATACTGATGGAAGGCTGCGGCGCAGCAGCTGATGCAGGTAGAGAAAGAAGACTGTCTAACAGAATATAAAATCTAAACAAAAAATCATAGAAAGAGCCATAGAGGGTTGACTGAAGTCTAGGCACGTCAAGTGTGACTCTCAAGTCCGGCGGATCCTATGCGGAGACGACCTCGGCCGTGACGCTGAATAAGCCCGCGGAACTCACCGAGAGTCCGCCGGCCACGATTTGTCAGGTCTGACAACATATCGGGGATGGATTGCCATCTAGCACATTCTGCGCCTTTAAAAGGACAACTTCTAGTAGTGATGTCGGAAATAATAATCGAAGTGATGGATTGCTTCCACTTTGACCATGAATCAAGATCATTGGAATTATGAACGCTATGTCGCAAGGGAAACTCCGAACCCCGCACCCTAATGACCCTATCTACTCCGAAAAGAAAAAAAAAAAACAAAAAAGGTGTACATGTAGGCAATGGGGTATCATGATCTGAAGCATCCACCCTTCCTTTCTCAAAAAAATTGAGAATAAACATAAACATACCACATAAATTCGTCTCATTTCCCCGGGATGTCCAGAACGAAGCGTTTATCCACTTCCATTTCTTTGTCGTCCTCCTCACCCTCGAACTTCAAACGGTACACATCCTTCTTAGAGCCCATAACTTCGGCTCGATAGAAAGTAGTCGTGTCAGGATATCTGGCAAGGACCTGTTTCCCAACTTGAAACGCAGGGAGCGTAGTACCGACTTGGGGTATTGGGATCAATGAAGCTGCCGTTGTCTTGTAGACTGCACCTTGTTCGCCATTTTCGTTGGGTTCGGGATCTTGGACATCATATCTAATCGTGCAGCTGGAATTAGCAAATGCATAAAGAAACCCCCCTTGAGGATGAATATACCGTTTCTTATGCCCGTCCCCAGATATTCCCTTTATAATACACTGTATACCTTCTCCCTCCACACCTTGCTTGTTTTTGTTGTGCTTGAAGACTACTTCAGCACCGATAACTAGCTGGCCGCTGCGTTCCGCTATGGTGCCCTTCGTCGGCTCCGCCCCTTCTTCTACCTTGACAGTGACACTGTCACGAGCATCACGAGGTTGATTGCTCGACACGCTGCTACTTCGTTGTGCAGTTCCCTTCACGCGGTTCAACTTGTCTGATGCCGAAGTAGCCGAAGGCCCTGGCGATTCCGCGGCCGATCCATCAGTCTCATTTCTCTTCTTTCGGAACTTTGGGAGGGATGCGAGACGACTTAAGGGCGCCTCAGCCTCTGAGGCTGACCTCAATGCAGTCAGGAGTCCCAGGTTCTTTATAACGTCACTGGGTTCGTCTTGCAGGATGGCTCGTTCTTCTTCGCTAAGCTTCAACAATTGACGATAGAGGCTGTCGAGTTGGTTATGCTCTGCCAGGGTGGGTTCTGCATTTAAGGCGAGGTTATTAGAAATCCACATTCACAGAGCCAGTGAGCTCTGCAGTAGGAAAATAGATTGCGCATTACTAGATGTGACCACAAGAGAGGATCGCATATGAGGAAAACATGTTGAAGACGCGCCTCGGTCGTAACAGCTATGGCAAGGAATAAAACTTACTGCTACCCTCTCTACCAATCTTCTCATTTAAAGCCGCGATTTGCTCTCCAAGGAGACTTTGCTTGTCATTCTTTTCCTTTGCCTTGCGCAGATCCTGTATAATTTTGTTCCACATATCGGTCTCCTCGTTAGCAGCCAGACCATTGTCTCTGCTTGTTGGAGGACCTCTCGGACGGTTTCGCGACATTTCGTCTAGCTAGATTGTTCAACAGAACCCCCTCTTGCCACCGATGCTGATTATTATGCGTCTGACGCCTGTCTCTCTGGGAACCACGTCCCACCTGGAAACAGTGAAGTCTCCGGTCAATTACGGCGCGTCCCTCGCGCCGCAATGCTCATTAGACAACCAGTGATGAGGTAGAAATCAGCGGGAGAAACTGCGATTAACAGGCGCGATTCTGTCTGCGGAAAAGAACCTTTGAAGCTGAGATAGTAACCGGCCGGCTTTCGTTTAATCTGGGGTTCGTGATGATCTTAGCTGCAGGGGACGTGACCGACAACTCGATATTCCGGAGTGGGTAAACTAAGTACGTACTGGGGTTCCGGGCGCGCTGGGCGTTTCTACGGCGGACGGTTTGTCCCTTGCGGCCAAACCGATGTTCGTGTCAGCTCCAAATCGCCACTACTACTATACCTAAGCTTAAGAAAAACAGTCATTTCCATATGCCTTTTTCGAAATCAACAAAACAACATGATCGTGTTACCTTCTCATGCACACGTTCCACAATTAAGGTAAGCTACAAGGGGCCATGGATAACAAGAGGAGCTGTATAATACGAAGGGGCTTTCAGAATTAGAGACAAGGTACCAGGAATTGGTATGGGTTGGTAAGCCGATCTCTCAATCAGAATCAGTAACTACCACAATGCTACGGTTATCAGCTCCTATTACCTTGATTTTCTGCCAGGGTGCTAACAAAATACAATACAAGCCTGAGGCATGATACTGACTATTGAACATCACCGTAGACTTTCTCAAACCATTTCACGGGCGTGTTACGGGCTAGTGTCACTCAATAGTATGTTGACATATTGCTTGTGATCTGAACTTTGCATAACTATGTCTCTCTTCACGCTGGCGAATCAAAACTTGTCCCAGGCGGCAGGCTCATGTCTGGGCATAGCGTCTCCTCAAGCTTTCCGCGTGGAAGATGTTGAATACTCGCCCTTCTTGATGGTACCCTAGCTTTCGAAGGGACGGGGATAAAAGACAGATCAGCAGATCAGCAGATCAGCAGATCAGGTGATCAGGTGATCACTATGCACAAACGTACTCAAGTTGTCTCGATATTCCCAGCATTCCACACTGTCTTCACCAATGATCTGAGTTTTTCCATAGCCCTGCAATAAGCCTGCTTACCCTCGTCTCAGAAATGATGACGTCTCTTCTACGGTCCTTACCCCTGCTCGGACGAAGATGGACACCACGTAACTTCTCAAACCCGAACTTCGTCCGGATACCTGCAAGCCAGGCAATTGAAGAGGAGGCTATCCCAGGTTATATTGCTGCCCGGTATTACCCTACTAAAATAGGAGAAATCCTTAAGAGCCGATATCAAGTAGTGGGAAAGCTAGGATTTGGAGCTAGCTCAACTGTGTGGCTTGCACGGGATATGGAGTGAGACGCCCATGGAATATATGTTTATGATTGTCTTGCCTCTACTCGTTCTCTACTCGTTTGCTAACTGAAAGTACAGCTGCTGTCGTTATGTTACCCTCAAGATATTCATCAAATCTGCATCATTGGGGAAGCAACTGGATGACGAGCTCAACATATACAAACGCATGGGAGGAGCCTCACAAAGACATGCAGGTCATAAATATGTCAGATCGTTGCTCGACTCGTTTGATGTTGATGGACCTGAAGACAAACATCGATGCCTCGTGCATCCTCCCCTATGGGAGAGTGTGTTGGCTTTTCTATTTCGCAACCCAATACGGAGACTGCCTACACCAGTTCTGGTTGTTGTGCTTCACCGTCTGTTTTTGGCACTGGACTACCTACATACAGAATGCAAGATTATACATACTGGTCTGAGCTCCTATTCCGCCTTCTGCTTCTGTTATTTACTTGGGAATGCCACCAGACATTAAGGCCGACAATATTATGTTTGGCATCGCCGATGATTCGGTTTTTAGTGATTTTGAAGAGAATGAGCTTCGGGACCCCTGTCCTAGGAAAGAGCTAGACGGAAGGACAATTTACGTTTCCCGGAAACTTGGAATGCCTAAGAAATTGGGTGCTCCAGTCCTATGCGACTTTGGCTCAGCCGTACTCGGAGATGAGATGCACTCGGAAGATATTCAACCTGATATCTATCGAGCACCGGAGGTAATTTTGGAAGTTCCATGGACATACAGAGTTGATATATGGAATGTAGGATGCATGGTAAGACGTCCCATAATAGGGGTGCAAAGGTTCTTAAAACTTACGTCGCAGATTTGGGACATTTTTGAAGGCGAGTCCTTGTTCACTGGCCAGGACCCAGAATTTCAGACCTACCGGAGTCGAGCGCACCTCGCCGAAATGATATGTCTTCTTGGTCCGCCGCCGCCTACTCTTCTTGCACGAGGGAATATGACGCGAAAATTCTTTTCAAAGGAAGGTAAGCCAACTGCCGTCTTATTATTCAAGGCGGGTATTTACTCATTATGTCTAACTTTCTAGGTAACTTCTGCGCTGGAATCCCAGTAAAAGAACACACTCCGCTCGAAGAGAGGGAAACCACTTTTGAGGGACAGGAAAAGGAGAAGTTTCTCTGCCTCGTACGAAAGATGCTACAGTGGGAGCCGGGAAAACGAAGCTCTGCTAAGGAACTCGAAGAAGATGAGTGGTTGCAATCAGAACTACATAAATAGTCTGAGGACCATGTACTGTACCTATGTCCGTTCTACCATTTCAGCTCCCGCTAACCAATGAAATATGCAGGAGCTTTCGTGCAGCACCTCCTTGAGACATTATTAGGGCTTGTCCCAGAGGAAAAGAGAAACACGAGACTGCTCACTGCACTAACACAGACCCCCTAATTTGTGCTCTTGTGGTGTCGGCAAAAATATTTAGAACTCCCCTAAAGCCACCATTTCTAACTAGGCTTACTGCCCCTTAGATACCGCCCCTTAGGTATGGCTTTGCGCAGTAAAGTCACCTGATTAGACAAAAGCAGAAGGCGGTGAAGTAATATCAGGATAAAATGAACTAATTAGAGAACCTTGGAAAGAGAAAAGGGGCGCTGTAACGGGCTGTCTATGCCCGTGCAGGTGGTAGGTTTTGGCCACCCGCAACCAGGGATACCTAGCCGCAAGGGGCAAACTGTTTGCCGTTCCGGCCGCTAACCACTGATAGCTGCCCCAATCGGGCATTCTGTAGGGCTGAGGGCTTAGCAGTCACGGGACGGATGCGGACATGCAGGAATGATGGCGGGGAAAGGAGCTCGAAGTCGGGACTGCTCGATAGTCTATAAGATACAAGAACTGCACCCGGAAGAATTATTATAGCTTTGAAGCGAGGTCTATCGAAGGGCTTCAGATCTCTACGGTTTCCCTATAAACCAATACTACCATATTCTTATTCTCTTGATTTGCTCTTCCCTCCCTCATTGTTTTACAAAGGTGACCGCCGTGGTCGCCTCAGTGCCTTGCCAAGATGCAGATACCATTACTTCGTCTCCAGTGCGGTATGTCTATTATATACACTTAGGATAGCTCTCGGGATATATTACTGACTCCACTTAGGTGTCAATAGTTACGATTGGGGTACGCTGCCGTTAGGAATCTGTTTATTTCTAACCCCGCACTGAACGTCAACATAGGCAAGCTGGGCCAGGAATCGGCGGCGGCCAAGTATGCAGCGACCACAGCACCTTCAGACTTCTCTATAGAGGCTGAGAAGCCATATGCTGAAGTTAGTTGTTCCGTATACTGCATAAATACGGTCGAGTGACTTACATCATTATCATCTAGTTATGGATGGGCACGCACCCTTCTCTCCCTTCGAAAGACCTCGAGACCCAACGAACATTGCTGGACCTTGTTCAAGATAACCAGGCATTGATGTCTACTGAAATCACCGAGAGATACGGGGGAAAACTTCCTTTTCTTTTCAAGGTGCTGTCGATTAGAAAAGCCCTCAGTATCCAGGCGCACCCAAACAAGAAACTTGCGGAGCAATTACATGCAAAGGATCCTCGAAACTATCCTGGTGAGCCTAGCTGAGAGAATTGGACTCACGCCTAGATTCTGACAAATCACGGTTTGCAGATGATAACCACAAACCTGAGATGACGATTGCCATCACACCATTTGAAGGACTTTGCGGCTTTCGGCCATTGTCCCAGATTGTGCATTTCCTCAAAGCTGTCGACCCACTTCGAAATCTAGTTGGTCAGCAGGCGGCAAGTGACTTCGAGGAAACTGTGAAGGGCTCAGAAGACTCTGAAGATGAGGCGGTCGTCAAGAAGAATAGAGACGCTCTGCGTGCGGTTTTCACGTCACTCATGCAGTCCTCTCAGGAAAGCATAGAGACTGCCACAAAAGATCTTGTAGCTGCGGCGGAGAACTCGCCCGCTACATTCGCTACTGGCGGTAAAGATCAGGAAATCACACCAAGTCCGAGAGAACTGGCCGAGCTCGTGATCCGTCTCAACGAACAGTTTCCGAACGACATCGGTCTGTTCGTTCTCTTCTTCCTCAATTACGTCAAGCTGTCTCCTGGTGAGGCGATGTTTCTTAAGGCAGACGATATTCACGCATACATTTCCGGCGATATCATCGAGTGTATGGCATCTTCTGATAATGTCGTCCGTGCTGGTTTTACACCTAAGTTCAAGGATGTCGATACCTTGACAAAGATGTTGACATATTCTTATGCTCCAATTGAAGAGCAGAAGATGCATCCAACGGACTATCCATATGCGACGTTGAACACGGTCTCTTACACCAGCTCTTCTACCGCAATACTGTATGACCCTCCAATTGAGGAGTTCAGTGTTGTGAAGACAGATCTGAACAGGACGGGAGCAAAGGCGACGTTCGATCCGATTCCTGGTCCGAGTATATTTATCTGTACTAAAGGAAAGGGCAAGATATCTGTGGGCCCAAAGACAGAAGAGATCAAGGAAGGCCATGTCTTCTTTGTAGGAGCAGATGCAGAATGCATCATTGAGAATACGGGCAGCGGAGAAGGCGATGACGATGTCTTCACTACGTTCAAGGCTTTCTGCGAGCTTACTGGAAAGGAAGACCCGGTAACCGGACACTGAACCATTTGAACTCCTTTCGAATGTCTGCCTAACCTATGCAACGGCAATCTAGGTAGGAGATTCCGTGCAGCGGAAAAGAAACGGCATATCTTCACTCTGACGACGATATTAGCGACGATGATAATAATTCCCGGATTTAGAAATCAAAGGGCATCTGATCCTATCAAAGGTAGAGCACTTTCATTTACCATTCGCTGCGTTATGGATAGTAGACACGTTTATTTTAAATATGTCTTTTCACGCAACCGTGGCCAATATAATTTGTTGGATGAGAATTACACCGGCTACTCCATCTCTCTGATCTCTGATAGGATGGTCTACAGAAATCTGCAGTTCAATATTCAGTCTATCATATCGATTCATTACATAAAGCGCCCGGGTAGTTCAACAAGACAAGACATTTTAAGCGACTATTATGAGGAGACTTTAGGAGCATATTTCGCCGCTGCCGTATCAAAGAATGCACTCTTCTCTTCCAGGTCGGTGAGAAGGCCATGCGAGGGTTGGACTTGCTGTAGGCGTCTAAACAAGCGTAATAGCTGTTAGCTAATTTGCGAGGAAATGCAGCGAAGGTGTAAACTATCCCAGAGGGGGAATATGGGTATACGTACGAGGTGAGCTCCGTGGTGTCCTTTCCACTCAGGACGTTCAGGACGATGGTGTTCGCAATCAACTGGGCGTCATCGGGGTATTTCTGAATTGCAGCAGACAGCGCAGCCTCCGCTTCAGGCAGGCGGCCAAGGTGCAGCTCAGCAACAGCTTGGCCAACGATAGACATAGCGGAAGACGTGCTAGGCGCAGAGGCGAGCTCTTCGTAAACGTAGAATGCGGATTGGTATTTGTCACCACCCTGTGTCAAAAGAATAGAGTCAGTTCGGGTTCCTTGTAGCTGAAGCAGAGAATACAGTTAACACATACAATTCTCATTCCAACCCAGGACTCGGCCAAGTTGAAGACAAGCGAATCCTGCGCCCAGCGCTTCGCGGCTTGCACTTCCTTCAAGGCAAGGTCGGCACGGTTCTGTTGTAGGTGGATCTGAACGATAAGTGCGACACTACAGGTAGAGAAGAGCAATCAGTACAGTTCCGCAGTGTCGCAAATAGGACAGATGAGCTCCTGGGGGGATCTCGTCGGCATGCTTGGAGCGGACTCACGCTTCGAGGTTACCCTGATGCTTTGACAGCAGCGCCAACGCTTCCTCACTGTGTCCCTGGGCTTGCAGGACAGTTCCAGCTAGGACCTGGATGGTTCCATTCTCAGGATCCTTCTGGACCAGTTCCTGCGCCAGAGTCAGGGCAGATTCGGTGTCTCCTGCCGCCTGCTGCGCCAGCGCCTTGACTGCCGCAAGCTCAGGCGTGTCCTCTTCTCCCTCAACATCTGCGAGCACTTCTTCGGTCTGGTTCAGGGCAATCTTCGCGCGAAGCTTAAACACACGTGCCGACAATTGGTTCTCCGAGGATAGGGCAGCGGTCTCGAAGTCGATCACTTCCTGGTATTGGCCCTGGTGGAAGGCATTGTAGATGTTAAGGAGTTCTGTAGGTGCGCAATTGCCGTTATGGTGAGCGCGCAATTCACAACAGTATCGAGATGACAGGCAAGAGTATGCTATACGACTTACCTCCCTCCGCTGAGAATGGATCCATGTTGATGTTTGTTAATTCGTTTCCCCTATTGTTTAGTTGACTGCGATCACGGCCTAAACCGCGGAGTTGATCATGTTGGCTTCAGGCGGGCATTCAACCAGGAAGCTTTGCCGAGATAGTCTGCTAAGTATTAGCACCGGATCTTCTGGGGTAAGTGAGACGAGCAATGCCCGCAACTTTCTATATCCTAGAAAAGTCGAATCCTGTTATTTTCACCAGGCCAATAAATCAGAATTAAATATTCATTCTATTAATTATACAATTATATGAGTTTACTGCATACGACTCTAAACCATAAAATCGCACGCGAATAAGGAAAAACTGACAACAATGTAGTTGAAATTCACGAAAAAGAAAACCAAGACACCGATACCCATATCGCACGAAGACACCGAGAATGAACCTCTAGACGTCTATCATATCAGATCCAAGGTGCAAAGTGCCATAGACGGACCACGAATATTAGATACCTCCGAATGGCATCCAAAAGATGACTTCGAGGACGAGTCGAAATATGACTTGTCGTCCATGTGTCACGCATATCCATTTATGTTCATACGCTCCATACATTCGCGCATGACGTCTAGCTTAACCTCAATTGATTCACGCTCGAAGTTTGCGTCGTAGAGGATCCCGTAGGTCTCAGAAAAGTGTCGACGTATTAACTCGAGGAGACAGTCAGAGGACCAGAGTCGGTCATCGTCATCGTCGTCATCATCGTCGCAGTGAGAGGAATCTGAAACAGTGGATTCGAGCTCCCATTCTTCGAGCGTCCGTCCAATATTAGTTGGAGCGAGGTTGTGAGGTCTTGGCTTTGGCGTGGCCATACCAGTCCCTGTCTGATAGCCCGGTGCATTGTGAACTGCTGGGGAATTAAGACTTCCCGACAGTATATTCAGGTTACCGGCTCCAGTTCCTGGTGGGTAACAGTAGTTGCACTTTGTGTAGCCTTTAGAACCGATCGAGTCGGTAGTAGCCTTTGGCGGTATCGCTTTGAGCCAGCAGTTGTTTTTGATATTGTTTCTCGGGTCACGTTCGGGACTGGGAGAGTATGCTCTAAAGCCGGCAAAAGGAGATTCAATATTATTTTGATGCATCATGATGTTAATGCAATCTATGAATACGGTGCTGTTCCTCGAAATAGAGGATATGCAGATGCAATGATGAGAGATCTTGTAGCAAGATATGCAGATGCTATGTAGTGAATGCAGTTATGCGTAGTGAAATTGAATGGATTGATGGCAGAGAGATAATTCTCTCCTCGAAGACACAGAACCAACAGCTCTAATATACATCCTAGAGGTCTCCAATACTATTCCCAGTACGTTAGGTGAGCTTCGATGTCTATAGTTACCATGTTAACTGGATACTGCTTCCTGCTGTGTGATGTCCCGAATAGGCATAACATGAGATTAAGTTACAGGTACCATGGAGTAGTTCCTTAGGCACCTCTATTCGCTGCGAAAAGGCGGTGGGTTGGTCGCGAGGTCGCGAGGCGGCGTCTCGCGAGGTGGCGAGGTTTTTGTTACCAGTAGATTACTAGTAAATTACTATTTTATATTAAATTTATACTAATATATATTAATAGGGAATAAAATCTAAAATTTTTAAATCTGGCGGGGTAGTAAATACAGGTAAATCTTATCTCGCAGGGCGGTAAGATTGTAATCACTGTATTTTATACTAAATATTACTAGATTTACTAGTAAGGTTTAATTACAAATAAAACAGCTTAGTCATAAAATACAATTATACCGCCCCGCGAGACTAGGTAAATAACTGTTAGATCTGTATTGAAATTAAGCAAATATAGGCTATTATTACTACTAAATAAATCTAGATTTATTAATAATATTTAATATTTTTTAATAAATATTAATTTTATAAATTATTAATATATTTTAAATATATTAGTATATATTAGTAATTATTTAATATATTAATATTTTATTAATAATATTTATGTTAAGGTATAGGCTCAGGAAGCGGGTCAGAATAAATAAAATAAGGTAGTTAATACTAGGACTAGCTATAAGATCTCTATTTAGCTAATTTAGACTAGAATAAGCTATTATAGGCAGGCTTAGTAAATAAGATATAGCTTAAGAAATTTAAATTTAAATTAAGCTATATGCTAAAAATATTTTTATAAGATTATATAATTTTTTATATAATTCCTTATACTAGCACTATAATAATACTCCCTTTCTTAAAGTTAAGCTCTATTAAGACTATCTTTAAGCTTTAGCTTATTTAAATAGCAATAATAAAAATTTATAATAATCTTCTAAATATATTACAGATAATATATAGGCTTTTTAATTAAATTATTATAATCTAATTATTTAATAGTATATTATAATTAAGAGCCTCTATACTTATAATATTCTTATTAAGAGTCTAAAATATTTTTAATAACTTATTTTTTAAGACTATTAACTTTAATAGGTAATAATAAAGATTATCTCTATCTAGGCATAAGGTCTTTAATAATAGGATAAAATAGGCTAATATTAAATATAGGATAAATATATATTAAGGCAGGCAGATTAAGCTAATAAATATATAGGCTAATAATTTTAGTAATATAAAATAAGCTAAGATTTTTTTAATTAAATTTTTTTTAAGGGCGCTAAATATAAATATTCTAAATATTTAATTAAATAGACTATTCTATATAATAATAGCAGGCTAAAGTTTAATAATAATTAATCTATTTTTTATAATAGGCTTAGGCAATATAAATCTAAGTATAGATATAATTTATAATATCTTATATCTTTTTAATAAAGGCTTTAATATTTTTAATAGCAGGCTAGTTTATAAGCTAAATAAGCTTAAATCCTATATATAGATAAAACCTATAATTAATAAAAAAAGGTAATATTTTAATAGTCTTAAAATAATAAGAGTTTAATATAAACTTAATTAGAGATAGCTAATTAACTTAATTATCTTATAAATAATTAATATAGATATATAAATATTATTTTAAAATAATATTTATTCTTTTAATTTAATTATTAGTCTTAAGATAATAAGTAATAAATAATAGATTTATAATATCTAAATATTAGATTAAGTATTTCTAAAAAGCAGTAATAAATTAAGGGTCTTAGTTAAATATTATAATTTTTAATAGCCTATAAAGCTTCTATATATAATAGATATATAATTATATTATTTTTTTAATATTATAAATAATCTAGTAGAGAATAAAATATCTTATCTTTATAAATTAGTTTATAATAACTAGTATAATATTATAATTTTAGTAAGATATAAGTTTAATAATAAAATCTATTAAGATATTTTATTAAAAGTATTTAAAAATAAAAATCTAGCGCAAGATTTTTTAGCAGCCTTTATTTAAGGGTATAATATAATAGTAAATATAATAATTCTAGATCTAATAATTTATATATTAATATATATTTAGCTAATAATATTTTTATAAGATTAGGTTATAAAGCTTATATTTTTTAAAATATCTAGATATATACTTATTATAATATTCTTATAATAGATAAGCTTTTAGCTTATTATAATTAAGAATATATAAATAGTTTTTATAATATAAATATCTTTCTTTTTATTAGTAATTAACTAATATAATCTTAGGGTAATAATTAGCTTTATAATCTAAGGCTTATAAAATAAACTATATTAAGTTATTAAATAGATAAGCTATATCTAGCAAATCTTTAATATTAAGTAAGTATTTTAATTTATTAAGCGTAATAGGGGAATTTAACTAATTTTATTTAATAGGCTAAGCTACTTTTTTAATAGGCTAAATAATCTCTTTAATAGACTAGATTATCTCCTTAATAGATTAAATAATCTTAATAAACTAGTTAGGCAGTAGGGTAAATTAAATAGATTCTCTAGGCTAAATAGATTAATTTCTTAGAGTAAATTAAATAAATATTCCTATAAATTCAGCAAGATTTTTAATCTCTTAAATTATTAAATTAGTAAAATAAATATACCTTATTATTTAATTCCTAGTAATAGCTTTTAATTTTAGAGATCTCTAAATCTATAAATTAAAGTTCTCTTTCTTTAAGACTATTTAGCTCTAATACTATAGCTATTTATCCCCCTCTTTAAAGAGATTTTCTAACCTCCTAGTTAAGGCATTAAGCTTTACTCCTTACTTTTTAAGTTAGTATATAATTTAAAAATTAAACTAAGATAAAAACTTAGATTAATAAGCCTATTACTAGTTTAGCAGCTTAATTAATATAAAATATTTTAGATTATAATAATTTATAATAACTTTAATTAGCAATAATATATCTTTAAGCTTAGGGCGCTATTTCTTAAAGCAGTAAATAATTATTAATAGCTTTTTATTATAAATCTTATAATTATACTTTATAATAAAGAGCTTTTAAAAAAAATATAATAAAATATAGGATTTCTTTATTATTATATTAAAATATAACTTTAGCTAATATATAGTTAAATAAGTTAATTTTAACTATAACCTTATAGGTTTAATTAAATAGCTTTAAGATTAGGGCTTAAATAAATACTTCTTTTAGGGCTTTAAAACTAGACTAATAGATAATTATTTAATTAAAGAGAATTCTCTTTTAAGTTAAGTTTATAAATAATATAATTATCTTAGAAAAGTTATAAATAAACTAATAATAAAAATTACTAAACCTAATAAAGGCTTATATATTAATTATATAAATTAGGGTCCTTTATTTAATAATTATTTTTACCTTATCTAAGTTTATTTTAATATAGTCTTAGCTAATAATAATGCTTAAAAACTTAGTCTTAGAGATAATAAACTTATACTTTTAGATTTTTATATATAGGCCTACTTTATATAGCTTTTATAAGATAATATAAATATATTAAATATATTTAGAATAGGTTATATTATATATTAAGATATTATTAAGATATATAATATAAAAGATATTAAGATAATCTTATAAGATATTATTAATAAACTATTAGAATATTACTAATACTTTTAT